TATCTAAATCTTTAAATAGAATAATAGTAAAAAAAAAAAGATAAATGAGATAAAAATTAATATTGAGTGTTTTTTTAAATTCTTTTAATATATTTTTTTGTGTGATTATATATAATTTTTTTTAAAAAAAATACTCCTATTAATTACTAAACACAATTTTTAACTCAATTTTAATTACTTAATTAAAATTTTTTAATTAAAAATTATTATAAAACTCAAGAATTGATAAAAAATAAAAAAAAATCTAACTCTAATATAAAATAAAAATTAAAAAACCCGTGCGACGCACGGGCAAAACAAAAACTAGTTATTATATTAAACTAAGTAGCAGTATTTATTATATACTTACTTATGTTCAAAAGTTGCTTATAATTTTTTATTGAGGAAAAGAAGTTTTGAATTCCAAAAAAGGAAAAGAAACACAAACCTTAAATGTAATAGATAAAATTTACTTGTTAATGGATCTAATTTGGCTAAATTTTAACTCAAATGTGCAATTCATACTTGTCATGTATCCAAAAAAAAAAAAAAAATTATGCTTATCCTCCATTGTAAATATCACCACTCTCTCCATGCTTCTTTCCAATCATTTTTTTTATGAGACCAACTATTTTCTTTTATTGTAATTAATTCTGGATAGATTGTTTACAATTTTATTATCAATTTCAACTGGTTACATTTGTAAGTATTAATAAAAAATACAAAACTTACCCTTCTATTTTCTCAAGGGTAATCAAGTGCATGGTAAAATAAAATCGTTCTTTCTTTTCCTATTGATTTCCAAGGTAACCCAATGACAAATACTTTCACCTTAAAACTTTACCATGCCAAATTGTTTCCAAGCCACAATACTTTAAAATATTTTCATCAATTTATTACAATATAACCACTACTCGTATGGAATGATGTGGAGATATTCTTGCTACAGCTTCACGGAAGGTTGTAAACTTGTATTTTATTCTCTCAAGTCTTATGTATATTTCATTTACCGTTATATATCTATTTTATATATCTATTTTCGTTTCAGGGATACCAAACTTAATGAGGCAATGAGGCTTAGTTTTTGTGTAAAATGATAGTATAGTATGTAGAGGTATTTTTGAAGACTTTTTGTGATGCTAAAATCAATTAATTATTTTATTTTAATCTAAAAATACACACTATATAATAATTATTTAATTCAAATTGTAATAATTATAATACCTACTAACTAAAACGTTTAAAGGTTTATTAGGTTTGTTAAACAGATGCGTTTAATGTATTTTATATAAAGCATTAGTGAATTATACTTTTTGTTTTTAAGTGATGTGGGATTAGATATTTATTTATATAAAATACTAGTAAATTTTACTTTTTATTCTTAGACAATGTGGGATTTTTTTATTTCACAATTTCACTTATGTACTAATAAAAGAATAAAAAATTTATCAAATAACAACAAAAAATAACTCACTAAATTAGATGTAAACATCAATTCTAACTTACGGTTAATTAAAAGGAAAAATTAGGAATAAGGCAATCCAGGACTTTGCAAGCAGCTACAATTTTTGTTATAGTTGAATTCTTCACTACAATATGTCCTTCACCAAAAATTGGGGCCAAATGTTACAGAAACCAAATTTGAATCGTCCTCCACCATCTACACGGAAAAAATGGGTTATATGTGGTTGGTCTTAAGGTTGGTACCATTGGGCAGATACTCTACCTGTTGCTCGACACCGGATCAAATATTGTTTGGTGGTAATGCCAGCCCTGCAAGCGCTGCTTTGAGTCGGACCATCGAATCTTAGATCCCATGTTTTCCATCTTTTCGCTGGATTAGTTGCTATGATGAGGAGTGTAAAATCTTTGGGTTTGGTGCAAGGAATGTTTAAATATTTTATGAATATTTGATAGTGTTAGGAGCCTTATTTTGCCATGAGTTTTTGAAGTATTGAAGGAATAAAAATTATTTGAGAATAAAGATGTAAGTGTGACACTTTTTTTGAATTAATTTATTTGAAATTTTATATTATTTTAATAAAAAAAATTTCAGTAATTTGTGGTGACTATTACTATTACAAATTTATTTATTTATTTATTTCTCAAGTTTAATAAAAATCATTCACTAGTAACTTGAAATTAACCATTTAAAAAGATTAAAATCCCAAAAATAATATTATGTTCTTCAAGTTCATCGTTCATCTAAATTTCAAGTTTATCTTGAATTTAACACTAAATTTCAAGACTAAGCATCCTTCTTCAATTTTCCCTGCAAATTTAAGGCTAATCACAACCAAAAAAAGAAAAATAAAGCTAGCCAAACAAACTCTTAGCCAATAATAAAACCGCTAAAATTACTCTGAAACTTTAGATGGTAAAAATACTAAACTTTAAAATCCTTAATAGTATCGGCCTAAAAAAAATCCTTATTAATAAATCCATTTAGGTCTAGCTTTTTCATATTTGCAAAGTGTGAGAGTTGTATTTATAGGACTTGCTAATTTAGATTTATTCGTTGAAGCACCTAATAACACTACTTCAAATTATCAGTCAATCTTTAATTTGTTGCTGGCATGTCTTCTCCAGCGCATTTTTCATATCCTCTCCCCAATTACAAATTCCCATTTTGCACAGGGCAGAGGCAAACACACGAGGGAAAATATGTTGAGGAGAGACATCAAAGATTTTATGCCATAAGATGAGGGTGGATCGAAGAGAGACAGGTAAAAATTTTATAATGTAGGTTAAAAAAAAATGTAATAATTCCATTTTTGCTAATTAATTAGTTGTATATCAAAATCCAATTCCCTCCTGGAATCCAACATCTAAGCTGGCAATGCTCTCATCACACATTCACAACCCAGAAAATCCCAGCAGGTTTCAGAACAAGGCCAAAACAAAAAGCCCCAACGTCACCAAACCAGCCTTAATGCTTGTAGCAGAGCTTGTGGGAGCAATGGCAGGACCCTCAAATTCAGCTGGAGCAGGCGCTGGAGAAATCGCAGTGTACCTGTGCCCTGGAGTCAAAACCACGACGATCAACTTCTGGCCTTGCTCACAGTGTCCCTTGGCTCCACTGATGAAATAGAAGGGCCCTGGTCGCTCCAGCTTCACCTTAGTGTTTCCATCTTTGTACTCTGCAACTGGATCCGTAGTATTGCAGCTCTGGTAAGCCTCCTTTGTCACTTGTAACACTGAGTCTTGTCCACCATCATATTTCCATACTGAAATTTACAAGCATTCAAAAAATTAGCCTGTTTAAAAGAAATGTGACAGGGATAAACAGGACAGAAAAGAGCAAGTGAAATCTACCCAAATAGTCGCCGATGAGGAAACGGGAACTTCCAGCCCATTTGTTGAGAGAGTCAGATTCTGATGACGGGATCTTCCAGGCGTCTGCCTTGCCCCCGACCAGTATTTCTCTTGCTTCTGTGAAACTTAATAGAAGAGATAGGAACACCAAAGAGGAAGTTAGTGTTCTCAGAGAAACAGCCATGGCTACTGAAAGCTGAGGATAAAGAATGGTTGAGGTGTTTGTGTGCGAGCCGCTGAGGAATGTTGAGAGGCTGCTGATGAGGGAGTGCCATTGAGCTCTGCTTCATTTATATGGAAGAAAGGAAAAGAAAGGGACGAGAAACCTAGCCGTTAACGCATGCGTTAGTGGGCTCCACAAACTGGCTTTCTGAACATTGGACCGTTACTTTCCGAATGAAACGGTTAGAAGGGGCGAAAGTGAGCTCAACGGTCCAAATTCAGAAACCGAGAAAAATGACAAAATAGTTCTTTCTGAACTGGGCTTGTTGCAGACTGAATGG